TCAGATAATATAAAATAAAGAACTTTATTTAAAATATATATATAAAATAAAGAACTAAAATCACAAGTCATCAAAGGTCTAACAAAAAACTGCACAAATATAAAATAAGGTGATATTTTCTATTACAAAAATATTAAATAAGGTGAAGACTAAGGTGATATTTTCTATTACAAAAATATTAAATAAGGTGAAGACCATTATAGATTATATCTTTTGAAAACATTATAGGTATATATCTATCATGATTGTCCTTGACTTCCTCCCTCAACCTCCATCCCGTCCTTGAGGTTTGAGGTTTGACATCTATATGAATGAATAAGAAAGAAGCATATAGAAAAGGAAAAGTTGTATATTCATGCTCATCAAATACCTTGCTGATTAACCCATCGTCAATGACAGAACTGCTGATGCTCTTGAATAGCTCAAATAATGCTTCAACTTCACTGACACTAACTGGAAATTTTTTTTTAAAAAAAAAAATCATTCAGAAAAACAAAGATGTACATTAGATGGACACACACATACAACAAAAAATAAATAACACAGCTGACCTGAGCGCTGAGAATAATACATGGATTACCAATATTTGGGTTGGCAAAAGGAGAATGACTTTTCTATGTAGACTAATTACATAGATTAAAGGATTAATCAAAGTGTCATCAAATCTGGTCTGACATACAGGACAGTTGCAGACAAAATCATACATGATCAAACAAACAATCAAGTAAAGTGGAAATTAAACATTGAAAAGAAAATTTTCCAGTAACGCACGTATTGGCTGAACAAAGTTTAACAAACCAAAATTTCAACTATGCGAAAATGCACAAAATGTACCTTAAGAACTTTCACTAACCTATGCGGTAGATTTTTCCTTTCATCCTCCAAAGTAGCTTAGTAAATTCCATAATTTTATTTAATAGTCTTAATAAGTCTCAACAAGACATTCTCAGATAAATGAAGCTAAGAAATAAGTTCAAAAATGTTTTCATGTGTATTCCTTTGTTCTTCTCTCCTAATAATATACTGGTAACATCACCATTTTAAATTAAAATCCAATTAACAACTACAAGTAAAAATATGCAACTCATAGATAAAAAATTACTGCCACAATAATGAAAAAGGAAACAATTACTCACATGCTGTCTCTGATGCGAGCATCACTGGGTCCTCATGTCCAGGGACTTGTCTTCCAACTTTAGAACTAAAACAGCCCATTTGTGGGAGACAGATGAAAAGTATATGAAGGAAATGAAGTTGGAGAAGAAGCGTGCAGCTAGACTCGAGAGTCTAGGCTGTACTAAAATCTACCATCATACTCATCTCAAACCTGGCAAATTGCAACAACCCAGATTCAAACAAGAAACAAATAAAGTGGTCAGTGCATAAACAAATCCCTAAATGAAATATTTAGAAAAATCACTGATCTATGAGAACTAACTAGCTCTGTAATGATTTAACGGGGGTTAGTTTAAAGCTCGTTTCTTACCAACCCATACCCTCTTGTTTCTCTGAATATGGAAGAAAAAGAGGACAAAGAAACAATTTCCATCTCCGCATATTCTCAAATTCTCGTTACAAGCAACCAAGATACGAGTAAAATAAAAACAAACAGCTACAAGCATGAGTTAGGATTCCTCATTTTTTAGGTAGTAAAGCATCTAATCGAATTTATCAGGAAGCAAACATAAAAACTGTTAACAGATAGATAAGCAGAGCATCGGAAGCCCCATATTCATTCAAATTGAACAGAACCCAACAAATAAAACCCCTCATTTTCCCCCCAAAAAAGACGCACACGCATTTCTTATCCTTCTTTTGCAACATATAGAAAGGAATTTCTTAAATTCTAAAAAAAAAAAAACCTGAAATTAGCATGCATAAATTAAACCGAAAAACAGAGTTGAAGAAAACGGAAATCTGAGAGAAATAAATACTTACCGACCAAAGTTTTGGCCGGCAAAACGCCGAGTCCGTAAAGTGGGGGAAAGGTTTCTGCTAAGGAGAAGAAAAAGTGAAGCCCCCTCCCTGTACAGAGAGAAGGAAGCGAGGGGAGAGATTGTATTTATATTTAGAAAATTGAAATGAAATTTAGTTGAGAAGAAAAAATGGAGCCGCGGAGAGCTGATCTGACGGCTGAAAAGTAGGACAAGTGCCCGATGGAAACAAGTTGGAATTGAATTTTCTCTTTTTTTGAATTTTGATGTCTCCAAGTGGAATTTCAGCAAGAGTCAGCAGCTGTAATTTTCAGAATGTTCTACCCTAAACATGAAATTTATATATTCAATTAAAATATAATTGTAATTATTCTTTATTTATAATATTATAAATAATAAACATCTCCTGTACTTATTTATTAATGAAAATAAATAAAAGAAATGTAATAATCATATATTGCACATATAATGTAGTTGTTACATTCACTTTTGAGTATATTCAATCAATAAAATGTGCTGATATTGTAATATCAAGGAACAACATTATTTTAATTAAATATCTATCTTAATTAAATTGAGAATTTATTCAACTTTTTTAAAAATATGATTATTGTTTTTTCAAAAGTTGTGTACTAAGAGTACGAGCCTAATACTAATACAGAGAACGATAAGTACACAACATCTAAGGTCCCCATTTCTCTTAGTTCAACTCATAATCATTTCTGTCAAAACTATCAAAACTAAGTCTACTATGCTCTCCATGTATGATGTTAACATCCTTATGACCATTTTCCCTCCTGATGATTGATGATGTTCTATCTTTAAACTTGATTAAAACATCCTCCGTTGAACATGTTAGGGACATATCGTTATGTCTAATATCAAATTATTCCTATAATATATTAAATACATTTTTATTTGACAATTTATTTTAATATATGACAATGACATTTTTATTATCATATTTATTACATTGATAATAAGATTAAAACTTTTTATGATTTAATGTAAAACGTTTTTTGGTCATTTGATCATCAAAATAGGACATTAATGATCCGCTAAGACCAATATATATGTAATGGTCTCTCTAAGATAAAGATTATTTGATCTCATTAACTAAATCACATATATAGATGATATATACGAAGATATGATCATTAAATCAATCTAATTGAAAATTCATGACGATTATTATTACATTAAACTGTCAATAGAATATTCTCAAAATGATGAGATGTAAAAGCTTTCTTTTATCTAAAATCATCATAATAATTAACAAGTCATTTATTATATTTTGATTCTGTACACCTATAATTATAAAACTATAGTTGAAAGAATATTGAATATAATTAAATACTTTAGAATTAGCGATTAATCAAGATAGAATATGTAACGACCAAGAAAATTCTAAATGAAATAAATTATAAATTTAGTGCGGAAGCGAAATAAATAGTTAGGGTTTACATTCCTTACACAATAATTGAAAATATCAAATTGGGCTTACGAGAATACCCTTCTAAAAGAACAATTAATAACTAAAGA